CTGATCACGAACAAGACAGATGAGTTTTGTCAACCTGCCGACTTTTTGCTCCTTGACTATCTGAAGTTCCATGTGGAATGCAGAGACCTGCAAGTATGGGAATATAAGGAAGTAGAGAATATGGAGATTCATGTGAAACGAAAAGACTTGAAAGGTTATGAAACTTAAGAATTGGATAAAAGAATCTCCAAAGTTGTGATGCCTTAGGAAGGGACATATACTAATAAGAATACCGGTACAAAATTTACATACAAAATGCACATCTTTCGTACATACCTTCTGGGTCGCCGAAGACACCTCAGAAAGCAAGGTGGGGGAGAAGGTATTAAGAGGAATGACATTTCCAGAAGCTGTCGGACGTGCACGCGACAAATTATAGTCCCAAACGAACTCGCCGTTGAGACCTCCGATAGTGTACCTAGTATGCATATGTGTAACATGGCAAGGAGAAAATGGTCGCATACAAGCATGATGTTGATTGTTTTGACAACATGTATCGGTTACTCGTACAACAAATCGCGAAACGTTGATGCTAATGTGATGTTCAATGGAACAACTTGCTTAGATACCGAAAGCTCACCTTGGGTCCTTAGGACGTTCGCATGTGATCCCTGCAATGTCGTATGTTGTCCCCAAAACGAACGGATCCAAAATCCTAAAACACTTTTCTATGGTCCAAGGGGTGGATGTGGTTCTATTGACCCGGAATATCAGCTCCATGATCGCTCCATCAGCATCCAAAAGAAGCAACTTTGCAGGCATATAGAAACCAGTACGAGCATCGTAATCAGTGTGAGGCCGAGCGCCGACAACCATCGCTTGTATCATGAAGTTCTCCGGCTTGTGATCAATTATGGCCACAAGCTCTTCAAACTTGCAGAGTGCTATTTCCTGGATTTGGGCAAAGAAAATGGACGAGATTTGAAGTGGTTAAACAGGCAAAAGTTGAATGATACATGAAGAAATGGTGGAGTGCAAAATATGAACATATTTTGCTGCATTGAGATTACGATTGCAAAACAGACCACTTATGGGATGGAATGGAGGGGGAGAAATTTCAAAACAACCAGAGGAGGGATGCGAAGAATAGGATGGGGTGGAAAGAATGGGGAAACTAAGGCAAAAATGTTGCGCAATATGTTGAACGACAATTATGGGTAGGGGTCAGCACTGGCAGGAAAGAATATAGGAAGGGGGGAGTTAGGCCATGGGGGATTGGATGCGTACGAGGTAAATGGGGGAAAACTATTGGTGAGATTGGTTAAAAACACATAGGAGAGCATGCACAAAATGGAGGAGAAAATTTAGGAGAAACGGCAAACAAACAGCCCTGGATCATAACAATGTGGAAAACAACATGATTACATGACTAGAAATATTCACGCTTTTCTATATACATAACACTTACAATGGTTTGTTCAAAGTGACAGGATCGTGAAAACCAAATGAACCATGCGTATGTTCATACCTCAGGAAAATCGTGAGAAGATGAAATGGATCCTGCAAGTCGACGCCAACAAATACGTTACTTTATTAACACGTATACGGGAAAATGATCACTAAAATATGTCTCACCAACATGCACATGAACATCAAAATGACAACGATTTGTCCACACTTGATCAATCAAGGTGTTGCGTATTGTTGTTGGAGCTTGAACGCATTGAGACAAAGAGAGAGACTTCATAAAGTTGAGAAATCGAAGCGGCATTGATTTGGAATCGTCAAAATTGAGATCGCCAATTATCATAATTTTGGCACTTGGGATCGTGGCAACGACTTGTTGCAACAAATCGTAGAAACTTGCATGAGATGATGCTGGATTACGATACACACATAGGACATATGTGTTTGATAGTGCAGTATAATGCAAAACAATAATCTGAACATTGTCGCTTATCACGTGAGAGAAGACGGAAACACGAGTATCGTTATATGCAACAAGCATTCCACCAGAATCCCAATCTTGCCTGAATACCGAACAGTCTCGAAACATGGAACCATGAGAATCATGAGGCGAAAGATGTGTTTCAACCAACAAAATAAAATCGAAAGATTTCGCGAGAATTGCGTTAATCAATGCACAATCACGCCGAAACTTGCGTATGTTATGGAGATAAAACCTCCCCTCACATCGAGCTGTTGCGATTTCCTCTACTGGAATCGGAGACATACGCAGTTTAGTATCACGCAAACGGATCATTTCTCTTACTACATCGTTGTGAATGTGAACACTGTGTTCAGAGAAATCCTCCAAAAAGAGCATTTCATGCGACTTAAATCTACTCAACGCAACGTATGCCATGTGATGGAAAACTTGGCGACGAAAATGAACAACGCCCGAAACAAATGTTGATCCCTGACTACGATGTATACTAATAGCAGCACTTACTCGAAGTGGGAACTGCATTCTTGAAACTTCGTTGTTCCTATGGTTGATGGAGAATCGCCGCTCGATTCGCACAATGGGAGTCAATCTTGCATCGGTGATACGCCATTCGGAAAACAAGGGAGCACTATTGCGTCGAGCTTTCTTACCAACGCGATCGTTGTCAAAGTGTACCCAAATGACAGAAACCTCACCATTTTCTTCTCGAGAGAAGCCTTTTATGACTCCAGGAGTCCCGTTTGCAAGACCGTCGACCGTATCAATGTTCAACACAACGTGAACTTGACAACCAAGATACAAATGCAAAAAATTGTACAGACCTGATGTATTCCTTGGATTCTTGGAGGCATGTTTTGATGGCCCTTTACATCGAGTTGCAGATTTATCAAACAAGTGAAGATCGTGAGCCGGTATGATATGTTTCTCTTGGGTAGATATCTCAAACATTTTGGCGTTATGTGCATCAATGTCGACATTTCTAGAAAACAAATGTTGAAGGGATGCAGAGTTGTCGATATGTCTGTTCATGGATGTGAAAAAAAGGAGGTCATCTTTTGTATGTTTCCCTTCTCGCAAACGATTAAGACATTCTGCAAATAATTGCTCGTTCTTTTGGCGCATGATCGTCACAAGTTCAACCATTTTAAACAACTCCCACACGTTATCCTTACCGATGACACTGTGAGGATTATTTTCAGCGAAGCAATATTTGTCAGCAATAGGAGGCAATTGAAAGAAGTCACCAACTAATATAACGTGCAACCCCCCAAAGGGTATATGTGCCGCCCCGCACAGCTCTCTTAATCGCCAATCTAACCAATGAAAGGTATGCTTACCGAGCATCGAAATCTCATCAACAACGACCAATTTGACATCACCAAAATTTGACCTTAACGTGTTTAATCGATCAGATGATAAGTTAGAAATTGTGCGATTTTGAGAAATCGGTATTATAAGTGCATTGTGTATCGTGTATCCACCTATGTTGAATGCTGCTACCCCTGTGGGCGCCATTTTCAACACTTTAATTGACGTAGGGTTGCAGTTTATGGATGAGTTGAATATTCTAGACAACCGTTCGGTCACAACATTGATCAACACAGACTTGCCAACACTTGCTCCACCAGTTATGAACAACCGTAATGGACTTCCTTGAAACCGAATATGGTGTACAATATGATCACATACCGCCCGTTGTTCGGGGTTTAATGACCTCTCAAGTTGCATATATTCGTAGTCGTTAATGAGCTCGTAAGAAAAAACATCGTTGGCTCGTCGTACATTTTTTTCAAGATTCAACTCATTTGCAATGTCAACACTTTCAACGTCGCTCTCTACAACCTTATTCGTTGTCTCAAAGACATTTGATTCTTCGTTATCACAGTTGGACTCGGCTGCTTTGAATGCGTCTGCCCAACAATCACTACCATTCGTATACACCGCTTCTTTCTCCATGATTGCCACTTCATTTTCCTTGAAGATTGTCGCAATAAGCCCAAAATCAGATGGCTCTTCTCGAAATGGGTGGTAAAGTAAAACCCTCTCGCGTATGTAATTTTCAAAGTCTTGGTTCTTATGATAGTTAACGAATCGTATAATTTTGCCTCGCTTACGTTTATAGTAGAATTTTCTCTTACCTGATAGGTCAGGACCAATCATACGCATACTTCTCGTACCTTCAAGCTGTGATGCGATCTCGTACAGTGACACGAAATCCGCCAAACACGTGGACTCCAAGAGCACCGGTCTCTGTTTGTACCTTTCCATACACGCGTATGGTTGATAAATATCAGTACTAGTCGATTCTAGTGCTTTCAAATCTCTAATCGATTTCAGGGTTAGCAGTCGTTCGTCGCACGGAGCGGTGTTCACAAAATGAACTTGTCGGGATGATAATCGATACTTCAAACCAAGTAATAGATAGCACGCTTCTTGCGCACTGATCTCTTGAGAATTAAGCATTGCGTTTCCAAGAAAGCGCAAGAATGCTTTTATTCCGCCATTTTCTTGCCGTGCTTTAGTCAAAGCCCGTCGCATCATAAGGCTCATACCTTTGTTTGCCTTGGTCATGTACGAAACAACATACGCTGCCACGCTGTACGGGTCAACGCATAGTTGAACATCCATATTACCGTTCCAAGCACCAAGCAAAGCTGGATTATAGTTGTTAACATAGACATCACAAACTTGCCGCTTTAGTAAAAGCGAGACCCGCTTTAGAGTCGAACGTATCGCCAAGATGTAATCATCAAACCTTAATCCAACCTCTTGAAGAAATGACGCAAACGTACAATGGTTAGATGTCGTCACATGATCAAGCCATTCTTTGACACGTTTAACATTGGTGCTTACCTCTTTGCGTTGTTGCCCCGACAAAGCATTTGAGATGGGATGCAAAACCAAAGTAGTAGTCAGCGGAAACCTTGGAAAACCAAACCTGCACTTACTAGTGCTTGCATATGCTCTTTTGCATGTTCTTGAATGTCTATGGGTTTGTAAGGATAGCAATCTTGAATCCAATCCATGGGATGATGTACTAATATGCACATCCGCGTATTTTACTATCTCGTCAACTCCTTTATGACCCAAGCACTTTGCTGACTTGCTCCAAACAACTGCATGGGTATGCGTAGCGCCTCGATGCTGAAATTCATCGAGGGCAAAATAGTCTTCCACACCACCGAGAATCTCGGATGTGTTTGTAAGTAGCTGAGAAAATACCAACCTTTTTTTGAAATCATAATAACGAGCACACGTGACAGGATCCTTCCGAACCAACGTGCTAATCGTATTGTAATCGCACGGCACGTCGACTTTGTCGGGTAAGCTGCACGGGTTTCCACGCAAAGCATTCACCTTCAGTAATATGGCGTGCAGTTCCGTCCATTTCGTGTCCGCCATGGATAGTGTCAGAAAAAACGTCGCCCTACCTATTTGTCGCAACATTGCGAAGATATCTCGCTTGCACTTATCCCTATACTGTTGTGTAGTACGAATCGTTTTAAAATCGTTATAAAGAGTATCGTTTTGTTGCAAAAATGCGCGTTTCTTTTCGTTTAGCATATCACCGGCCGTATAAGTCCGCACATTCTGTATTTCTTCTTGTCTGACCCTTGTTGCAATCACATTTTGGACTTGTAAGATCTCCTTTTTGTACATTTTGAAAAAAATGTTCGCTATATTCGTAGCACAACGACCATTTGCATGCTTTAACTCCCATTTGACAACGTCTGAATATGACACGTTTGGGTTATGTAGCCCGTTGAATCTTCGTTGACCACAGTATATCGAAGGGAAACTTAGCTCTTCGACATCGTTGTCAAATAGAATTGAAGTTGGCCTTGACAGTTCGCCTGGGGCAATTTGCACCGTGAGTTGAGATGGTTGTTGGTAGAAGGGTTCTTGCAATAAAATTGTATCCAACACCCCAACATTGTGCTTATTGATCTTATCACTTTCATTCGAACTTGTTGAATTTGTAATGGCACCGTCGACATCTGAATCTTTGCTGTTACTCAATGATGATCCCTTGCTAGTATTTTCTAGTAATCGTACATTTGCTTCATCCAGTTGAATATTTTTCTCTACGAATAATGTCTGTTTGCACAAAAATTGCAAAGCTTTAAACACTTTTGTCGGTCGGACGTTTTCTTCAAATGCACTATTTTTATATTCCATTTTACGTTTTAAACGCACTGTAACAGTGTGTGTATCATCGCACGTTCTTGGTAACGAGTTCACCATTTTATCAATCTCAACAGGAATGTTTATGACCCCACCTATAATACCGTACTGCTTTCCAACAAACAATGAGTGTATTTTCATAAAAGGTATCCGCGGACTTACTAGACGCTCTTCTAGGTTCGTCAAGCCAAGAAGCTCCTTCGGCTGGAATGGAAAGCCAATACCGTTAAGGATAGATAATGGCGGTACAGTTCCATGTTTCGTATACGTTGCACAGCTTCGACAAACACGTTCATTTAAATCTAAGCCTTGACGTGACTTGATGTGGCATCCAAAATTTAAAGTGCCGCACAATGTGCACTCAACATCTGGGCCATACGTGCTTATTTTAAGAAACTTTGCAACTTCACGATTCTCACTCTTTTTGCGTGGCATCGACTCGATTGCCACACTCTTGAATTTTAGATCAAGGATTGAATTTGAGATAATATCACCGTTCTCAGCGTGCAATCCATGATTTACTTCCATTACGTAATTTGTGTGCATGCCAATTTTATGGCATATAAAATATGAACGTGCATATGCTGCATCCATTGCATGCATAAAACCAGAGTACGTGTATCGTTTACCATTATGCCCAACTGTAAAGCGAAAACCGTGCGCGGTAGATCTTATTCCGGTGTAATGCTCATTGGCACTATTATCATGTTTTGGTATTTTATCACAAACACAAAACATGGATTTGTCGTTTGATACGGACTTTGCCAGTTGTTGTGTTTGACAACCCCGGCGTCTAAGATTTTTCTTTTTCTTATTCCTAATCAGTTTTATGGTCGTTTCATCAACATGGACATCCTTCCTTTCTCGTGCTCGCTTGCCGCAATGGTGCTCTTGCCGTATTCTATCAAGCGTACCTGATGTGCTTACACCAATGCCTGTATGGCAATTGACAAAATCAGATGTGCTTGAAGCGCAATGAAGTGAAACACCCATGGGTCTGTTTCCGATAAATGAACCCGCGCTGTTATTGCTGGAGGAGGAATCTTGATGCAATGACTCATTTGGCTCGATAAAATTCTCACCTGGAACGTAGCCGGTACCATACGAAACCCCGTTTTCCGCAGGTAGTAAAAGAGAATAATGCTTGTGAGCATAATCATAATGCAAATGTATCACTCCTCGAGATTCCATACCGGAAGTTGCACGAAATCAAGCGTCGTATTCTGTAGGTCTCGTCCAAATAATTGCAGAAGTGTTAAACACCACAGAAAATCCCTTCACTTCAATTATTGAACCCCATTCTGTATCACGAGAAGCGTATGCAAAGTAATCCTCTCACGTTGCGAATTCTTTATCATGGCCGAATCTAGCCTCGTTTGCGTAATTATACTCCTGGTTATCCCAGTTCATCGCTATGTGATGCACGATCTCTCGTCTCACACGCGCATGCTGGTTTTGTGTGCCATGTAGCCACTTGGACATAGCTCGATACAAACAATTCCCATCTCCTGTAATACTGCAAAGCTGTAGCTTATATAAATTTTTGAACTCACCGTCCACTATAGCTCCAGTAATGATAGCTCTATGGCTTGAAGATGATGAGGCCATGATGTTGACTCAGGCTGCAATGCTTGGACAGCGTGAATTGCTGAAGAGAGGCAGGTTGCTTGAGCAACGGTTGCAGACAAATGAAGTTCCTGGGATTATGGGAACGGAAAGTAAGGAAGGAAAAGGAGGAACAAGGAGCGAGAGAAGATAGGGTGGAGAACAAGGAAGAGATTTGAGAAATAGACAGGTACGTGGAGAAATGGGGGCCAAGGGAATGTGAGAAAATAGAGATGAGAGAGAGAGAGAGAGAGAGAGAGAGAGAGAGAGAGAGAGAGAGAGAGAGAGAGAGAGAGAGAGAGAGAGAGTGAGAGAGAGAGAGAGAAAGAGCAAGAGAGAGAGAGAGAGAGAGGGAGAGAGAGAGAAAGAGAGAGAAAGAAAGAGAGAGAGAGAATGCAACGCACGCCTGTATCTCACTTAATCATTCTGTCGAGGTGTTGGCTATCGCCCTGGCTTATACTACAGCTTTTAGGGTATTGCAGCCATTGCAGTAGCCATTACAACTCTTTCAGTAGTATGACCTTTGTCGTAGCCACGACAACTTTTCTCTTTTCCATGAAAAAACCATTGCTATAACCACTAAAACCTTTTGAGTGGTATAGGCCTTGCTATAGCCACTACGGCCTTTTCAGTGGTACCAGCATTGCTGTAGCCACTACAGTTTTTTGAGTCGTATAGCCCTTGCTGTAACCACTATACTTTTTCAGTGGTATAACCATTGCGGTAGATCTAGCTTTATCGACGGATTCAGCAAAAGAAAATGGTATGGCTGATGCTTGGGGGATGATTGCACATTGAGGAATGCCACTCAGGACAACATTGCAGGTAAATAGTACAAAAGATTTAAATATTGTAACAAATTATAGCTCAAGTATACCTGCTTACATAGAACACTCATTGAAAAAGTGCATTCAATACTGCTTCCTAGAGTTATCATATAAACATACGTCGCGGAGAGATCGCGTTGCCTCTTCGCTCACTCCTAGTGCCGATGGGTGTAGTAAATGGGAGCTTGAAGTGTGACAGCTCGAAAATGGCAACTGTAAGAAGGGTAACATAGGAAAGTAAGATGCATGACACCATACAAAGCTACAATAATGACGAATGCAGTGGATCCGTGACAGATGCTGATCGCAAAAAACGAGGACCAAACACACCAGCATTGAGATATCCATTCAGGGCGCAAAAAAAAAACGCGAAAGCAAAGAAAGGAATAGAAGCTACATACTCAATAATGGGAAACACGTATATATAACAAGGGGCAAGGGTGCTGAATACTAGGAATCTCCTAGTTATCAAACTTCACTTGAGAACAGGGGCGATTTCCCTTTGATATTCCCTCGTTACCTCCACAGGTGTGGAGGTATGGAGGTAAAGAGGTGTGTGGAGGTATGGAGGTATGGAGGTTTGGAGGTGTGTAGGTATGGAGGTATGGAGGTATGGAGGGGTGGAGGTGTGGAGGTATGGAATGGGGGTGTGGAGGTGTGGATGTGTGGAGATATGGAGGTATGGAGGTGTGTGGAGGTATGGAGGTGTGGAGGTGTGGAGGTGTGGAGGTATGGAGGTTTGGAGATGTGTAGGTATGGAGCTGTGGAGGCATGGAGGGGTGAAGGTGTGGAGGTATGGACGTGTGGAGGTATGGGGGTGTGGAGGTGTGCACGTATGGACGTGTGCACGTGTGGGAGTGTGGAGGTGTGGAGGTATGGAGGTATGGAGGTGTGTGGAGGTATGCAGGTGTGGAAATGTGGAGGTACGGAGGTGTGGAGGTATGGAGGTGTGGAGGTGTGTGGAGGTATGGCGAGATGGAGGTATGGAGGTATGGAGGTGTGTGGAGGTATGAAGGTGTGGAGGTGTGGAGGTACGCAGGTATGGAGGTGTGTGGAGGTATGGAGGTATGGAAGTGTGGAGGTATGGACGTGTGGAGGTATGGGGATGTGGAGGTGTGGAGATGTCGAGGTATGGAGGTGTGGAGGTGTGTGGAGGTATGGTCGCATGGAGGTGTGGAGGTATGGACGTGTGGAGGTACGGGGGTGTGGAGGTGTGGAGGTGTGGAGGTATGGAGGTGTGGAGGTGTGTGGAGGTATGGAGGCATGGAGGTGTGGAGGTATGCACGTGTGGAATAAGGGGGGTGTGAAGATATGGAGGTGTGGAGGTATGGAGGTATGAAGGTGTGGAGGTGTGTGGAGGTATGGAGGAATGGAGGTGTGGAGGTATGGGCGTGTGGAGGTACGGGAGTGTGGAGGTGTGGTGGTGTGGAGGTATGGAGGTGCGGAGGTGTGTGGAGGTATGGAGGCATGGAGGTGTGGAGATGTGGAGGTATGGAGGTATGGAGGTGTTGAGGTGTGTGGAGGTATGGAGGCATGGAGGTGTGGAGGTATGGACGTGTGGAGGTATGGGGGTGTGGAGGTGTGGAGGTATGGAGGTGTGGAGGTGTGTGGAGGTATGGAGGTATGGAGGTGTGGAGGTATGGACGTGTGGAATAAGGGGGGTTTGAAGATGTGGAGGTGTGGAGGTATGGAGGTTTGGAGGTATGGAGGTGTGGAGGTGTGTGGAGGTATGGAGGCATGGAGGTGTGGAGGTATGCACGTGTGGAGGTATGGGAGTGTGGAGGTGTGGTGGTGTGGAGGTATGGAGGTGTGGAGGTGTATGGAGGTATGGAGGTGTGGAGGTATGCACGTGTGGAATAATGGGGGTGTGAACTGTGGAGGTATGGAGGTATGGAGGTGTAAAGGTGTGTGGAGGTATGGAGGCATGGAGGTATGGAGGTATGGACGTGTAGAGGTATGGGGGTGTGGAGGTATGGAGGTGTGGAGGTATGGAGGTTTGGAGGTGATTGGAGGTATGGAGATATGGAGGTGTGGAAGTATGGACGTGTGCAATAATGAGGGTGTGAAGATGTGGAGGTGTGAAGATATGGAGGTATGGAGGTATGGATGTATGGTGGTGTGGAAGTGTGTGGAGGTATGGAGGCATGGAGGTGTGGAGATGTGGAGGTATGGAGGTATGGAGGTGTGGAGGTGTGTGAAGGTATGGAGGCATAGAGGTGTGGAGGCATGGACGTGTGGAGGTATAGGGGTGTGGAGGTGTGGAGGTGTGGAGGTGTGTGGGTGTGGAGGTATGTGGAGGTATGGAGGCATGGAGGTGTGGAGGTATGGACGTGTGGAATAATGGGGGTGTGAAGATGTGGAGGTGTGGAGGTATGGAGGTATGGAGGTATCGAGGTATGGAGGTGTGGAGGTGTGTGGAGGTATGGAGGCATGGAGGTGTGGAGATGTGGAGGTATGGAGGTATGGAGGTGTGGATGTGTGAGGAGGTATGGAGGCATGGAGGTGTGGAGGTATGGACGTGTGGAGGTATGGGGGTGTGGAGGTGTGGAGGTGTGGAGGTATGGAGGTGTGGAGGTGTGGAGGTATGGAGGTGTGGAGGTGTGTGGAGGTATGGAGGTATGGAGGTGTGGAGGTATGGACGTGTGGAATAAGGGGGGTGTGAAGATGTGGAGGTGTCGAGGTATGGAGGTATGAAGGTATGGAGGTGTGTGGAGGTATGGAAGCATGGAGGTGCGGAGGTATGGACGTGTGGAGGTATGGGAGTGTGGAGGTGTGGTGGTGCGGAGGTATGGAGGTGTGGAGGTGTGTGGAGGTATGGAGGTATGGAGGTGTGGAGGTATGCACGTTTGGAATAAAGGGGGTGTGAAGATGTGGAGGTGTGGAGGTATGGAGGTATGAAGGTGTGGAGGTATAGACGTGTGGAGGTGTGGAGATGTGTGGAGGTATGGAGATGTGTGGAGGTATGGAGGTATGCAGGTGTGGAGGTATAGACGTGTGGAGGTATGGGGGTGTGGAGGTGTGGAGGTATGGAGGTATGGACGTATGGATGTATGGTGGTGTGGAGGTGTGTGGAGGTATGGAGGCATGGAGGTGTGGAGATGTGGAGGTATGGAGGTATGGAGGTGTGGAGGTGTGTGGAGGTATGGAGGCATGGAGGTGTGGAGGTATGGACGTGTGGAGGTATGGGGGTATGGAGGTGTGGAGGTATGGAGGTGTGGAGGTGTGTGGAGGTATGGAGGTATGGAGGTGTGGAGGTATGCACGTTTGGAATAAAGGGGGTGTGAAGATGTGGAGGTGTGGAGGTATGGAGGTATGAAGGTGTGGAGGTATAGACGTGTGGAGGTGTGGAGATGTGTGGAGGTATGGAGATGTGTGGATGTATGGAGGTATGCGGGTGTGGAGGTATAGACGTGTGGAGGTATGGGGGTGTGGAGGTGTGGAGGTATGGAGGTATGGAGGTATGGATGTATGGTGGTGTGGAGGTGTGTGGAGGTATGGAGGCATGGAGGTGTGGAGATGTGGAGGTATGGAGGTATGGAGGTGTGGAGGTGTGTGGAGGTATGGAGGCATGGAGGTGTGGAGGTATGGACGTGTGGAGGTATGGGGGTGTGGAGGTGTCGAGGTATGGAGGTGTGGAGGTGTGTGGAGGTATGGAGGCATGGAGGTGTGGAGGTATGGACGTGTGGAGGTATGGGGGTGTGGGGGTGTGGGGGTGTGGGGGTGTGGGGGTGTGGAGGTGTGGGGGTGTGGGGGTGTGGGGGCATGGGGGTGTGGAGTTGTGGACGAATGGGCGGGTGTGGGGGTGTGGGGGTGTGGGGGTGTGGGGGTGTGGGGGCATGGGGGTGTGGAGTTGTGGACGAATGGGCGGGTGTGGGGGTGTGGGGGTGTGGGGGTGTGGAGGTGTGGGGGTGTGGGGGTGTGGGGGTGTGGGGGCATGGGGGTGTGGATTTGTGGACGAATGGGCGGGTGTGGGGGTGTGGGGGTGTGTGGGGGTATGGGGGCATGGAGGTGTGGAGGTATGGAGGTGTGGACGAATGGAGGAGTGGAGGTATGGACGAATGGGCGTGTGGAGGTATGGACAAATGGAGGAGTAGAGGTATGGAGGTTTAGGTATGGAGGAAAAGCGGCGAAGGCAGCGTGCGCCACGCCAGCACGCCTGCCGATGCGCGGCGACTGCGTACGTGAGTGGCGACTGCCGTCACGATACGCTTGCATGCGTGAGCGGCGACTGCAGCGACCGCCACCACGGTTCGTGGCGAGCGTCGCGCTCGTTGCCACGAGAGCGGCGCGAGCGTCGCAGCAAGTGGGATGAGCGGGACGAGCGCCACGGCCCGTGGCGCTGCCACGGGGATGCCGTGGCGTGCGCCATGCGCGTCCGCCTCTCCAGCATAGCTAACTACAAAAGAAAAGAAAAGAAAAAAAAGGTTTGAACGGGCTTACCAAGGTAGACCGAAGCCAGGTTGAAAGCTGTGGGAGAAGTTGATCGTCCTTCGGAGAGTGCAAATGTCGAGGTGAAATGGCTTCAAGAATTGGGCGTAGGAATTTAGGAGGAATCAAGAACCGCGCAACCTGCATCCGAACCGCGCGTTTCTTGATCTGTTCCAGCATTTAGGTGAGACGAAATTGCCGGTTTCCCACCAAATTTCTGCTGGTTTCTGCTGTTTCCCAAGGCAGACTGGGCTGAGGCACGTGACACAATCACGTGAAACGACACCTCATACGAAACTAACTGCACCTCTGCTCGCAATGATTAGGCTGCAACAACGGGTGGAAATAAAACCCTCTCATTGTAACCAACCAGACGCCCTAAGGGCGCGTCAAATGCTCATGAACTCTGATTCATTGTTTTTGCATAGATTCGCAAAGGGCGAGCATGAAACGAACACCGAAATGAACATGGGGAGAATTGGGCTGTAGCGCATGTCACATTTTTCGGAGTGGGGATCTCGGGGCTGTCGCGCCAATTTGACGAGTGTCGTAAATTTTGTTACTTTCGCCGAAAATTGGTGCTCACTTGACGGTCACAGAAATGTGACGCGCCCTAAGCGCTGACCAGGCCATACTGCACAAGTGATATGCACACTCAAAGTATACACTATTGTGAATGGAAGTTAAATGATTGAAGGAAAGGATTGTATTTCATGCAATTGTCACATCTATACCACATATTTTTGACACTAATATGTGTGTCATCCATTCATATTGATGTTTTTTCCAAACAAAACTTCATGCAATATTGCTAAGTGCGTGCCATATCGAACCATTCATATTTTTAAAAAAATATTACCCAGTAATTGACACATACGCGTATTGGCATGCTTATCAATACCGTATTACAAAAGTTTGTTCCTTGCGAGTGTATTCAAACTTTTTAGATCTCTTTTTCGTTTGTTTGTAAACGGAATGCATCTTCATAAGGAGGCTGCGCAACCCTTTCGGCGCTCAACGTCGAACCTTGTTTGACATATGGTTCACTCACTCCATTCATGGGTGCTGCAGTTCCTCACCATTCTTCCAGAGCTGCATTCGCGAGCCGCGGCGCTTCCATGGCGGGCGCTTCAGCTGCGCTGAATGGTCCGCATTCGCACGCTAAAATCCGCACCCTGCTTCACCCGTCTAACCACACTCAATCCCGTCTGCCCCAGCATCTCTCCATCCCAAATATCGCCACCGCCGCCTCCACCGCCGCCGCCGCCGCCCCCTCCGGCACTCACATTGGGAACAGCGGGAGCATCGCATGCTCTCTCCGCCTCTCGTCGCAGCGTGCGCGCGATCGCTGGGCGACGTCGTCACCGCCGATTTCACCCCGTTCCGAGTCCCCTGCCGCGCTGCCGTCTTTCGCGAACGCGCTACAAAGCGGCAGACTCGGCCTTTCTCCGCGTGACGACCGTCAACCGACTCCTCGCGTCGCCGCGAGTAGGCAGCGCCGGCAGCAACCCGGAATCAGCGTCGCTTCCCGTGAGGGGTCTTCTAGAATTCTAAAAAATAGCAGCAGCTTGAGAGACGCCGTTCCCGCCGTTTCCGCCGTTCCCGCTGCGACTCGCAGCATGCAATGGCGGAGTCCCAGTCACGCAGGGGGGAGGCGGAGCGCAGATGGCGGCACGGGGAAGGCCGTTAGGGGGGAGGAGGCGTGGGAGACGGCGGAAGGGAATGCGAGCTTCGTAGGAACGGCCCTGTCGCAAGTCGTGAAGCTCTTTCTCCTCTCTCAGGTGATGCGCAGCGCACACTTCGCAAGTCGCACAAGTCGCACAAGTCGCTAAGTCGTGCAAGTCGCAAGTCGCGCAAGTCGCATGGGCTGGCTGGAGTGGTGATGCTGTTTCTCATTTTGGTTCACCATGCAGTGTTGGGCTCGGTCCTTTTGAGGCACCTCAAAACTCGGTCCTGCTCGGTACTTCGTCCTAGCGGCGCGGCCAATGCTGCACGCCAATGTGCCGCTCAGCCAATGTGCAGCTGTCACGGGGAAGCCATACCACGATCCACGTCATCTGCCGTCCATCCCTTTACCTTCGTTCCGTTTCCCCTTCCGCCTTCCCCCCTCCCCCTTCCCCCCCTCCCTCTTTCTCCCTCTTCCCCCACTTCCGCCCCAACGCACCCATCTCTCAGCTAGAGTCGTGTGAGGACCTGAGTGTGACTGTAGCAGGGTCTAACCGGGAGCTCCTGTCAGGGCGGATCGCTGCAGTCACGCTGACTGCAGCAGGGGCGGTGTACAAGGTGGGTGGGTGGGTGGGTGGGCCGCCCCTCTCTCAGCTGCGTGCTATCGTGTGTGTGCTCGTGCATGCTCGTCCATACTCCTGCATGCCCTTGCATGCCCGTGTGTGCACGCAAATGTGGTCAGACTCAATCCCCGTGGGCGAGATTGCTAGCGGCCCTTTTTCAAGACTCTCAAGCCCCTTATTCCCAGGGCTTTCCGTGAGAAGCCCAATTCAGCATGGCGATCTGTATACTGAATTGGGCGAACTCTGACAGTCCACGCTTCTCCCGCATCCCTGGGTGGCTCTCATGCTTCGTCATGTGGCTTGGCAGGGCGTGAGGCTGACAGCAGTGCACGTGGCAGCAGCAGACATTGCAGTGGACGCCAGGAGCCAGGCGGAGAGGGGCAGGTATGCAGGCGGAGAGGGGGGGTGAATGGACGATTCACAATGGATGGCATGACAGGCACAGGGAGTTCCATGGGGTCCTGTCCTGCATCGCCCTGACACCCTCATGGTGACTCTGCCCTGAATGCAATTCCCCACACAAATGCTGCAGTTTGTCCAGTTTTCCCCTGTGCTTTGCTCACCGCCCCCCTGTGGCCTGTTCATTTGTGCGTGCAGCTTCTTGTGCCACCAGTTTCCGGTCCATGTGAAAGCCCATGTGTCAGAAGGTGACTTCAATGCAAGGTACCTTCCTTCTTCTTACTCCTTTTCTTACTCCTCGTTTTGCATTTCCACAGCGCATGCACGTGCCCATGCGCACATGGATAAGCACTCTCAAGCAATGCACGCTGCTTGTTAACCCCCCTCTCCGCTCCTGGCTGCACCCCTTGTTGTCGCCATTGTGCATGCAGCCTTCGCAATCCCTCGCTCCACAAACCATTAGTCGACCTGCTCTCTCTTAACGCACCACTGGAGCCATCATTACTCCGGGTTAGGCTCACTGACGGCTCCTTGCACCTCAGCTCAGACCCCCCGAATGCTGACTTGCTCCGTCTGACTCCGAAGCTCTGCCGTAGCGGAAGATGCCTTACTTTTGATAGGAAAAATGGTACCATGCCGGGACCAGGAACAAGAGATTCAGCACCAGAGGTGGACCTGGGGCCAGGAACTAGGATCTCGCTGCTGGAAGTTGATCAGGGGTGCATCTGGCTTCATGGGACCTTCACTGTTATCCCGTAGGTGCCAGAGAAATTTTGTATTGTCGTGTGACGTTCGATACCGATCGTATTTTAGATCGGTACAGAATGTGTGTAAAGTTGCTGGTATCTATTGTCAACTTATACATATACTCTATATGTAGTAGTTTTGGCTAGAAGGGTACTCTTAAAAACCGAATGAATGATTAGAGAGAGAGAGAGTACAAGAATATATACAGTCTATGCAAAGTATATGAGATACACATGTTTGTCACACCCCCTAGACTGCATAGGGGCAGGCCCTGAACAAGCAGCTCAGGGCGGCACTACTAGTCCAGCCACTGAGACAAGGGTCTAAAGACCAGTCAGAAGGAGTACAGGCAAGGCAAGAACAAGGCCAGGGCGGCACTACTAGTCCAACCACTGGTAGAGGACACAAGTCCAGTCTGAGTACACTTGGATATATATATATAGGGCAGTACAAAGTCAAGGTCCTAGCAAGTGAGAAGCTACAGGAACTAGACCGAGCTGTACACAGTGCCGCTGATGATCTTTAGGCGCAAGCGCCTTCGTAAAGATATCAGCTGTGTTGGCACCAGAGGCCAGGTGTACTACGCAAGCCTGGCGACGCTGCTGTAGCTCGCGCAGGAGGAAGTACCGCAGCTGAATGTGCTTCGCTCTGCCCTCGAGTCGAGGCTCCTGACACAGGAGGATCATGGCCCTGTTGTCAGCGTACAGGACCGGGGCAGAGCTAGGCCGCTCACCTAAGTCAGTAAGTAAGAAAGTCAGCCAGCGGAGCTCCTGTGCCGCCATGGCACCAGCGTAGATCTCGGCCTCATAGCTGGACTGGGCAACAGACGAGGAGCGGGTAGCTCTCGATGAGACGGCACCTGAACCAAGGCTGAAGCAGTAGCCCTGGGAAGACCTGAGGGTCTCAGCGTCGTCCGCCCACGGAGCGTCTGTGTGTCCAGTAAGGACCACTGGCCTGCGTCCTCCTAGCACTAACCCCATGCCCGATGTACTCGCAAGATAACGCAAAACCCTCTTAGCAGCAGACCAGTGATGCGGTCGGTGTCTGCCAGTGGCCACAAAGCGAGCCAGGATGCTGAGAGGGTATGCGAGATCAGGGCGAGTGCAAGTCATCAGGTACATGAGGCAACCCACCAGCTCTGCATAAGGACCACTGGGCTCTACCGACTCCTCAGGAACTGGAGCGGAGAGTCTGTGGGCTAGAGGCAGAGGGGTGGGCTGTGCAGACGAGAACTGAAGGCTGAACCTCTGAAGGACCTCGCGCACCAAGTGTGACTGAGTCAGGGTAATGGTGCGCGCTGCTCCGTCCCTGGAGATCTGCAGGCCAAGGTAATGACGCAGTTCTCCAAGGTCAGTGCAAGTGTGTCTCTTCAGCAGCTCTGCCTTCACGGAGGCCAGTGCGTCCCTGTCTGCTGTGGCAAAAACTAGATCGTCCACCTACACAAGGATGTAGAACGGAGTCTGGCCAGCACGAACGAAGAGTGAGGGGTCTGCCGAGGACGGAAAGAACTGAAGGTCAGCAAGAGTAGCCCGCAGCGTGTCGTGCCACTCATGGGGAGCCTGCCGCAGGCCGTAGACAGGACGCCGCAGGAGCCACTGGATCCCAGGAGGGAAGGTGCCAGTAAAGCCCTGAGGGCGGCGAAGGTAGACCTGCACGTGCAGGCTGCCCTGAAGGAAGGCAGTGGAGAAGTCGAGGGAGTGAAGCTCGTAGTCACGCTGAGCTGCTAAGTGTAGCAGAACCCGAAGAGTAGTCATCTTCGGGGTCGGAGCGAAGGTCTAGAAGAAGTCCACCCCCTCACGCTGACTGAAGCCTCTAGCCACGTAGCGCGCCTTGAACACAGGCGGCTCTCCAGGGGGGCACTTCACCTTGAAGAGCCAGCGACCATCGACTACGTTCACCCCAGGTGGGGGAACTGCGTCGACGAAGGTGCCGGTGGATCTCCAAGATGCCATCTCCTGCTCCATGGCAGCTATCCACTGCGAGGCCCAGGGTCCCGAGGTCGCCTCAGCGTAAGTGCGAGGGGTCGGGATGTCGAAAGCGTCTGGGTCACCCTCAAGGACTAGCAGCATGGAACAGAGATGGGGAGCAGCCTCGGAGAGGAAAGCAAGCTCGAACTGGCGGTCCTCCAGGACGTCACTGCCGAGGGCAGGAGCACCCCCGACGGACGGAGGACAAGCAGGGTCAGAGACCAGAGCAGTGGCGTAGTCAAGGCGGCGGGTAGAGGAGAAGTCAGCGACCGCAGCGACAAGAGCGTCAAGGCACGAGACCGGAACAGACGGGTCGGTAACAAGAGAGGCAAGGACCGGAGGAACGAGAGGACGGGCGGCACGAAGGTAGTCAGACAAAGGGGGGGGAGCAACGACAAGGGAGGACGGAGGAGGGGACGGGAGAAGGGGAACGAAGCAACATAGGGTGAGAGCGGGTGACAGGGGAGACAGGACGAGCGCGGGAGGGACGGTGAGACCAGACGTGAGACGGAGGGGTCAGGTAGGGAGACAGAGGAGGGGACACAAGGGGAGAGCGAGGGGGAAGACGAGCCGGGGACGAGTCCGGCGGAGGGAACACAGGGCCGTACACAGGGAGAGGAGGAGACGGGAGGAGAGGAACGGACGCAGGGTCAGGGGACGAAAGGCCGAGCACGCGAAGGGCAGACACTGGCGAGGACTGCTGTTGCGGTGGTACAACGCCGACACCGGGACTGCAAGCTGCTCCGCGGCTACCACCGACAGACTCCACTCCACCAACCCCAGAAGGAACACCCGCAGGGCCCGAAACTCCTTGAGCACCGGCACCACCCCCAGGGCCACCGGGGCTAGAGCCCACTCCAACGCCGACACCCCCAGGGGCAACGAACGGCTGCTGCGAGGACGACGACAGCGACAGCAGAGGCGACGGCGGCTGCAGAGGCGATGGCGGCTGTAGAGGCGACAACGGCTGCCGAGGCGGTGGAAGAGGAGACGCCGGGGGAGGGGCAGACGGCAAGGACTTCGCCGCAGGACCACCAGAGTCAGAAGACTCCTCATCCGGGACAACCGACAGGAGAGGGGTGACGTGGGACACACCAGAGGGGGCAGGACGGGGAGGGGGAGGGGGAGGGGCAGGGACCACAGGGGAAGAAGGGGCCAGAAACAGGGGGGGGGTAACCGGAGGACCACGGTGGGGGAAGCGACGGAAAAAGGAGACGGAATCGTCAAAGGTGACGTCACGAGAGTAAAAGAAGCGGTGAGACGGCGGGTGGTAGAAGTGCCAGTCAGACGCGTCAAGGGGAAAACCTAGGAAGGCGCAGGGAAGGGTGCGGGCAGTGAGCTTGTCCGTGCCGGAGGCACGAACGTGAGCAAGGCAGCCCCAGACGTGGAACGCAGACGCGTCACCAGGAGACCCGGTCCAAAGACGGGTCGGCGAAACCTGCGGCCGCTGGGGGTGCGGCCACAGGTTAAGCTGGTGAGCAGCGTAGCGCACGGCGAACGGCCACAGAAAATGGGAAGCACCGGCATGGATCATGGAGGTGCGAGCAACCTCCATGAGGAAGCCGATGCGTCGCTCAGCGACCCCATTCTGCTGTGGGGAGTCCGGCAGGGTGAACGTCTGGGTGATGCCCTCCGCACGACAGAAGCGACCAAGGACACCTGAGGCAAACTCGCCAGCACGGTCTGAGTGAAGGCGCAAGATAGGGAGACCTCGGTGGACACGCGCAGAGACAAGCCAGGGGATGAGAGCATCAGGCACGTCGGCCTTCCGCTCTAGGGGAAAGACTGTGGTGTAGCGAGTGAAGTCGTCGACAAGCACGAGGAAGTAGCGCTCTCGACGCGGCCCATGGACAGGGGCGGGGCCCCAGACGTCCATGTGCAAGGTCTGCTGTGGCGCGGCGGTAGGGGGAAACGAGGAGGAGTGCGGGGCACGGCGAAGCCGACCCTCGACACAAGGAGTGCAAAGCGGGGCGGGGGAGGAGGGAAAAGGGGGAAGGGAACCAGGGAGACCAAGGACGAGACCGTGCTGGGACATGTAACGCAGACGCGTGAGCGCAGGGTGACCTAGACGGTGGTGCCAAAGGAGAGTCGGGTGAGTGAGAGACCGACAGGAGCAGGCAGCAGCAACCTGGGAAGACGCAGCCACCTGGAGGGGCGCCCTAGCCGGGGGGGTCACGGTGTCTAGGGTGAACAGGCCGGACACCGGGTCCCGGGGGAACGTGGACAGAGGGGCACCTGTGGTAGCCTCGGTACAGACAGCATACCGCTCGTGACCAGGGAACGTAGTGGTGACGCCAAGGTCCTGGAGGCAGCCGACACCACCTAGGTTCCTGGAGAACGAGGGGACATGCAGAGCTGTGAGAGAGCCCGAGGGAACTATCGGACAGGGAAGGGTGGTGGAACTGCGGGTGACTACCGGACCGCCGGAGGGGTCAGCAAGAGAAACAGCGGCAGGAACAGGAAGCGGCGTCAGTGTAGTGAAGTCGCGGAAGAAGCACCGGGAAGCGCCAGAGTCCAAGGTGAAGGAAAGCGAAGCAGTGGCGTCCGGCGACGGGGCGACAGCGGAAGCACCAAGGCTAAACAAAGCAGGGGCTCCTACGCCTGACGCAGCAGGGGAGGCTAAGCTAGGCATACCTACACTAGACGACAATGAGTAATAAGCGGGAAACACACTAGAGTCATCAGCATACATCACATGCAGAGCAGAAACAATGGCATCCATGTCCAAGTCAAAAATCGGAATACTACGACTAAGCAAACTGTGCTAGTCCGGGAGGTCTGGCGACGGGCCGAAGCGCTGACGGAACAGGTCGTCCAGGCGACGAAAGCAGCGAGGAGTGGTATGACCGGTCTTACCGCAAACGAAGCCGCAGTGAGGACCGGTCTGGATCTGATACTGGCAACACACACCTCCCGAACCACCACCCGGTACACCACCACGCGCACGACCACCTCCAGCTCCAGGCCACCCGGGCGGGAGGACACTCGCCTGCCTCGTCTGCGGCGGCTGCTGCGACGGCTGCTGCTGCTGCTGCGACTGTGGAAGTGGCTGCTCAGCTGGACCGGGCAGGGTCCCCTCGTCCGCTCCAGCACCATTCGACCCGACTCCACCACCACCCCCACCTGCACCC